ATAAACTGCCACGGAAACCTTGCACCTATCCTTTTTTGCAAGTACCGGGGTGTCCAATGATGAACACGACGCGTCGTAGACATCGCTAAATGGTATATTCATTATTCCAAGTTTTTTTAGCATATCTAGATGAAGAAGTTCAAGGTTTGGCCGTTCAGTCAGATAGCATATTCCTTTGCAGTTAGTCCCATTGTAGGGAAATTCACACTTTAATTCGCCAACCAATTTTAGCACTCATGATGAATTTTTAGCAGTTTTCTTAAATGGCTTTATTTGCGGTTTCCCAAGCAGCATATACGTTTCTCCAGACACTAGGGTGATATCGGATGCCGTGCCAATTTGAAGACGAGCTAATATGCCGTTAATCCGGATAGTAGCATACTTTCTCCGAATGTCATAGTTCGTTTGGAAGGCTGCTACCAGAGAATGAGATTTAGATTACGCTAATTTCATCAAATGTCGAGGATGTATATATTTGTTCTTGGGCTGGGACGTACGATTCAGTGGACAATGACCTTCTTTATATCCACGTCTGTTGCACACCTGACATTTATGCTTCCTGAATGGGTAGAATCATACATAATGCCAATCACCGCATAACCGACAGTCAGTTGATAGTTTGTTACGAGTTGTTCTTGGCCTCTGAGCTTTTAACCTAGTAATAGCACTGAAACGATTGCAAGTTAAATTAGGATTTACCTGTTCAGTTAACTCATTGTTGTGTCTGATGTTTTGTAGCCGCTTACACTCATCTGTAATTTTCATGAGTGTGACGTTTGGATCTTGATTCAGTCGAGTTAAAAGTCGAACAAGAGGTCTCATACTCGGACGAAACGACCATCTTTAGATCAGAAGTACTATAAGCAGAGATGAATGGTAACTAGAAGTGGAATCGAGGATGCGCGTTTCGTCCTATTTGAGGCTCGTCAACCGGATGTACCTGCATCCCAGAGTCGATGTGCACTCGAGGACTTCACCCCATTGTACAATCTAGTGGCCATCTGGACTCAGTAGCTAAGCCTACAACGCGAAGGGTCCGAGTCCTGGAGTGAACATCAATCTTGAAATGCAGGCACATACAGCTAACGAGCCCCAAATAGGATGAAATGCGCATCCTGGATTACACTGTTAGCCACCATACATCTCTGCTTAAAGAGATTCTTGTTGTAGATCACAGGGCTAATCAAGTTCTACCGATCAGAAAAGAGAAATAATCGAAATTAAAGAACATATAAACAATAAAATACTGATTAAACTTACAATTTTATCAATATTGAATCGTTCATGCATACGCCTAGCGTTTACGCTAGTTCTGATAGATTCCCAATTGAATATAGGATCAGGAAAAACAACTGGAGAAAAATGGTCATCATCTTGATATAAAGCTGATCCACTAGGAGGATTGTCTTTAGCAGCATTAAGCTTTTCTAGAAATTCACTACTGTCCTCATTGTTATTATTATTAGTCTGATTATATGATTGAATAGAATGATTCCGTTGATATTGTAATAAAATAAATGAATTCACAGAAGATAATTTACTGATTTGACACCAATTTACATGTGATAATATGAAATTCTTAGAAAGCATAAGTTAATCTGTTTTTAAAAAATAAAGAAATACAAAGTTTTTTTAAATGAATTTTCTGGCATGTCCAGTCATAAGTGAATCTAGACAAGAAAAGTAGATAATAAAATTAAAACAAAGAAAACGGAAAACCTTATTCATATCCTATGATGTATAAAAACGATTACAAAAATAAGAGATCTACTCCTCCTATGCGCTGCATACTTGAATTATGCTTCCTAGGTATTCACTAACCCTAGGTTGAGATGAAAAATCCTAGCACTTTGACCAAGATATGTTTACTTCTTTTAGAAAATTTACCTTCAGATGAAATCGTCTTAAAAAGAATAATGTAACATTGCTATATTTTCTAAAATCTCTTGAAACACAGTTTAATAGATGAAGGGTTGACTAATGAATTTTAGTAGTATATTCGTTGCTACATATCCATTATTAGAAGTATCAGTACTAAAAAAGGAGAAAATATGATAGGACGGACACGTAGCTAATTGAGTACCCTAGTCATCGTTTATTCACACCATTTAAAAAAAAATGTTGAGATTATACAAACAAAAATAAATAAAGATCACTGGATTGATACAATGTATAGAACTGAGTGCGATAGTCTTAAAAGCTCATAATGTAAACCTCAATGATGGAAGCCCGATGCTATTCTATTTAACAGTTGAACAATTAGAAAATATAAATTATATCGAAATAAGCTGATATCATTCTACTGTTTAGATTGAAACTGGAAGTCTTTCAATTAGCAGTACTTTGCTATTAACCACTAAAATATTAATGTATCATGTAAATAGTAGATCTATGGTAACACTATGATTTCCTTCTTATGAAAAATAATCATCAAACATAAACTACCTAAAACTTCAGTCGGTTGATTAGGAAGTAACGTGTTTAGTTAGAACTGATGTGGTAGAAAAGAAACCATAAATTCGTATCCATCTTTTCACATTTGTATATGAAGTGTTTTTCATTACAATCATTTAATGAGTCTCTCGCTTTTATCATGTTCGTATGATGCGTATGAATTAGTTCAAATGTCAAAATCTACACATTTTTTACATATGGAACTAAGCTCTAAGAGTGAATAGTGAGATTTTCATCCACATTCTTCTGTAAAAAACAGAAGCCCAGTTTTTAGATCTATGTCGAAATAGTATACGTTTCCATGAATCCTTAGAGCACTCATTTTTTAATCTTCAACAATTTTCGAGCATTTCGCCTTCCATTTAGCAAACGAGTGTTATATTTAAAAAAGTACAATTTTCACTGAGGATTTTATTTCAAGCTCCAACACTCACTTCATTAGCTTTTTCATCCTAAAAGTTGGAATACGCAACAGTGGTGTGTTCATAGATCTACGTAAGTAGCTTTAGATTAGTTAAGGATAGATGACCTCATACGTTTGCTCTAAGTTACAATTTCCAGAAATCGAAATAAACACACTACTTAGTTACAAATCGGTAGCATATTTCTTAAATTAAAAACTTAAAAAGAACAATCACACGCAATAAGTATTGTCAGCATCGTTTATGTACAAATAACTTAATTGTTTTTAGAAAAAAAAACAGATATATGAACAAAGAATATTCCTTTCAACAAATTCTCCTCAGATTCTACAGTTAATTATCCAAACTTAGAATTTCAGTGTCCAGGATTAAGACAAATACATCATTTAAAACCATAGCATTTGAATCTAGGATTATAAGCAGAGATGGAGGGCGGCTAAAAGTGAAATCCAGGAAGCGCACTGCATCCTATTTGAAAAACGTCAACTAGATGTACCTACATTCCAGAAATGAAATTCACTCCGGAACTCAAACCCAGTACCGTTCGCTCCAAACAACCAATACAAAAATGAATTTCGGATTGTTTGTAAAATAATATAAAATTGTTAGTTACGGTGATTAATATGTAATATTAACTTAAATAAGTTAATACGTAAAACGAAACTGGAAGATTAATGAATAGGGTAGATATAGATAACATAAAGTCAAGGAGGAATAATAATCCAATTACAAATCAGAATATCTCGTCAAGGGCTACGTAACACGACATGATATTAGCTATTTATTTAAACACATAAGCATTGGTACAAGGAGGCACCAAATATATATGCACCACATAAACCATTCGATTTGTGTGAGAACTGGGATACTGCCCGAGTGCCAAGACCGAAGCAGGTGGTTCTCTTAGGGGGCCACACCCGAAGCCTTCGACCTAACGGTCTGATCCACAAGACAGTGGAGCAACGTCAGGAGATGCAGTCCCATGGTAGCCGATGACCAATAATTGGTTCGTACGCCATTTGTTCCTTTAAGATACTGGAGTCCATGTGCACCATTGGTTTGGAATCAGGGTTTTCCAACTCCCCTAGGTGAACTCTCCGTGTCCATCAACCCCGTTCAAGCGCCGAACATTCGCTTTTCGTCCTCTCAATTTCGTAAACACCCCCCTCCGCGAGAAGGTAGTGAGTAGGACTTCCTTGGCAGTGGTTGTATGCACGTGGTCATGTGAAAGCATTTCGAGAGGAAGAGCTGACGCTCCCCACTCTCGGCCGTACCAGGCATTTGGGGACCAACACTCTCTGATCTATTAATGTGAATACCTCAAGCTTATAAATCGTTGGTATTCACTCCGAAACTCCAACCGAGTACCGTTCGCTTCAAACGCCATCGAGTTGTGGACTTAGCTACTGAGTGCAGATGGCCACTAGATTGTACAATGGGGTGAAGTCCCCGAGAGCACACCGACTCTGGGATGCAGGTACATCCGGTTGACGAGCCTCAAATAGGACGAAACGCGCATCCTCGATTCCACTTTTAGCCACCATTCATCTCTGCTTATAATGCCTGTGATTTAAGGAAATATGGGGGCAGTCCGCACAGGATGCACATATACCAACAAGAGACTGATCAATTTAAGTCCTAAACATCAATGGGATGATTAAAAAAAAGGACAAAAGTGAACTTTAAACGTTTTATTATTCACCATTTGGCCTATCAAACTAGATACAACAGTCGTCTTTTTTCGAATACTGATGAACTATAGGTCCAAACACAAAGGGTAATTTGTGAAGATATGTTAGCGTTTCATTACAAACGGCTATCAGCTAGAAAACTATTGTAAACCTTGGAGGATTAGACAACTACTTTATTCCGAACTAAGTCAAAACAAATGTTCAGAGACTATAAAATTTCATTGTAAACCATCACGAAAACTACATGTACTCTGCTAAGATGACTTGGTAAAATACAACTGACCAACTGAAAAACAAATAAATTAAAAGAATTATACAGTAAATTTAAAAATAAAAACAAATTCTGATGATCCAAAAAATTTATTTATCAGGTATTTAGATAAAAAATAGTCAAATGTACATAGGACTGAGAAGAATTTATAATTTATTTTTTAGGATGCAATTTAGGTGGATAATAGTTTTCTTTCATGTTCTTTCATGTTCATCTAAATAACGATAAACTCGACGAAGTTTTTCTTTGCGTTTTTTATGTTTTGTTACATGTTTTACAGCCTCTGTTTGGTTTGATAATATTGTTGAATGTACTGAATTCAAGTGTTTAGCGTGACTTAATAGACGCCAAGGTTTTTTGACTGCACCATCTTCTAAGATAAATTGTGTTGTCCCACTACTAATGCATGATAAATTGCTAACAGTCTCAACTGAGCCAACAGTACTCCAAGATGCATTCGATGATACTTCATCATCGATCTTTGACTTTTCTATGTTAGAACGTAAAATGGGTATTTGCTTATGAGATTTAATAAGTTCGTGTGCAGGTTGATCCTTTAAGAAGATAAAAATGTCAGAGTACAGGAAAATATTATTTAAATAGCAAAATAACAATTAGTGTATAAATCAATAACTTTAGAATAAGGATACAGTTTCCATTAGAGACAACAAAGATTGCCATTTTCAATATGAAGGAAGAATCTTTTTTCCAGTTTACTTGTCTTTGTACACTTGATTTAAAGGTTTTAAAAAGTCGCAAAGCAATTACTGCTGTTTTTGATCCCTGCATATACTTAATAAATAGCTATGTCATTCAGGGTCTCTAACCATCGGTTGCTATTATCTCGTGGTCCCCAACCAGGTAGTCTACACCTACCAACATGGCTCAGTCCACTTGTCAGTGACTTCATCGACTTGTGCCATGTTTTGGTCTGGCCGCCCCTAGCTTTCTTCCAACCTACTCCTATACCACTGAATATCGCATGTCGAAGCAGTCGGTCGTTGAGCGTACGTAACACGTGTCCCAGCCATCTCAACTGATGAAGTTTCACTACTTCATCAATGGATTTGCTATCCTAACAACTACATTACTTACTCGATGGTCCCACGATATACGAGCAATGTTTCGAAGACACCTAAGATCGAATACTTGTAACCTACGAATATCCTCTACTCTTACCGGTCATGTTTCACTGCCATAAAGTAGGACGGAGCAAACTGCTGCACAGTAAACACGTCCTTTGGTTCATAGACGGATATCTCTCTTACGCCATAAATGACGCAAGTTGGCAAAAGCTAGTCGAGCCTTCTGTATCCGTGCTGAGATTTCGTCACACACTAGACCACAAGGGCTGATGAGACTTCCCATATAAGTGAAGCGGTCGACACACTCAATTACTTCATTCCCTATCATTAGTTCCGGTGTCTATGCAACCCAATCCTGAAGCAACATTTTACATTTCGAGGGGGAGAATCGCATCCTGAACATGCTTGCATTGTTGCTTAGAGTGGTCAGAAAACTCTGCATTTTGTCAGCGTCTTCACCAAATAGAACTATGTCATCTGCATATTCCAAGTCAACAAGTGAATCTCCTGGTAGAAGTTCAACCCCTGGAAATTTAGATGAGGAAAGTGTTATCTCTAAAAATACGTCGACGATAAAGTTGAACAAGAATGGAGAGAGTGGACAGTCCTGACGAACACCACTTAAGGTAATCAATTCTGGTGACAGTTCGCCATAAACTCTCACTCGACCAGTTGTGTTCGAGTAGAGAGCCTTTACAAGGTAAATGCACTTTTTTGGTACTCCTTTCAGTGACAAACACTGCCATAGAACCCCACGATCAACAGAGTCGAATGCTGCCTTAAGTTCGAGAAATACTACGATTGTGGGGCGTCTGAATGTGTGTCTGTGTTCTAGAACCTGACGTAGTGTGAATATCTGGTCTATACAACCACGTCCAATTCGAAAACCAGCCTGGTTTTCTCTAGTCTTCTCTTTACGAGCTTTAGTTAGACATCGGAGTATTATTGAAGCTAATATTTTAGACACTATATTAGTCGAACTGATTCCTCTGTGATTGTCACAAGAGGACTTTTGTCCTTTCTTATAGACCGGCACAATCAGTGATTGAGACCAGTCAGATGGGATTACGTCCAGTTCCCAAATTCTACCTAAGACCTCAGTTAATCTCACTGCTAATACTGGACCACCATCCTTAAAAATATCAGGAGTGAACCTGTCAGGGCCTGCTGCTCTCCCTCACTTCATATTTCCTATAGCTCTTTCAAATTCATAAAGAGTCGGAGGATCTAAATTAACTTGCCATTCAGGTCGACTGGAGATCGTGGGAAACCGAAGTGTGGCTGGAGGCCAGTTGAACTGATCCCTAAAGTGTTCTGCCTATCGATCCATTTTCTGGATTAAGAATGAATAATATGTCCATCTTTCTCTGTAATTGTTTTGCTAACAGTCGGGTTCCTAATTCCGGTTTCCTTAACGATTCTGAACAATTGTCTGCTATTACCTATTGCCGCTGCGTTTCCATCTCTCTTGCTTACGCTACCCACCACTGTTCGCGATCATTGCGTAGGCTTCTTGTCAGCTTGCGCTTAAGCTGACTCCGCTCTTCGTTATGTTCACGAGAAGCAGAATCTGGGCTTCCAGATAGACGAAGTGTGAATCGAGTTGGTTCTTTGTTTTGACATGGTGATGTCAAATGAATGACGCCACTCGGATCCTGTATGCGCGTTTCAGAGAGGCAGCACACATCGATGGCGCGAGATTCTAAAGTCCTAACTACGGAAGCCTGTTGTCGTATTTGGCAGTGTTCGGACGTTATAAGCTCCTACGTGTAGTTTAGAGCATGGTTTCAGGAGACCAGGAATAACGTTCCGCATACTCGAATCGTTTGCCCTAGTGGTGCGAGGTGATAAAAGGACGTGAGAAGGGTCAGTCGGGGAGATAAGAGTGGTATTAGAAGGTGTAGGAAGGATTTGAATGTGACCAACTTGGTCTCGTTTGCTTTTACGGGTATGAGGGTTGGTGTCACTTCCCAGTTGCCCACACCGTGGAAGGGTATTTCTTGAGGAACCTGAAAAGGAAGTCGGATTAATGTTGGCCTTAACGACCTGGGAGCGTGACCACAGAGCCCAGGGGGCAACTGCTTGAGGCCGGTCGCGCACGGCCTTTTTGTGGGAGGTTTTTCACGTGTTAGCTTCGTTCTTTAAAGGGCATTACCGCCGGAGACGGAAATCCGTGAGTTAAGGTGAGGTGTGACATTTTTAGGGTAGACCTTTTCTAACCCCACCCCTCCTTGTGGGAAGGCAGCATCGCTGCAGATGCTGGTTGTTCGAGGGAAACACCTTACTGCTGTCACACCCCTCGACAGTCAGCAGTACGACTTCGCCCTCAGACCTTGAGTTGCTGCTTTTAGTCTTACCGTTCTCCAATCGACCTGCCCTGCATGGTAGAACCTACAGGAACATATGTTCCAGCCAATATAGCTCGGTTGGGTCATCACGATAGGCAAGCCAGACCACCGCGTCAAGGAAGCAGCTACGGTCGGGATAAACCCCTTGAAAAAACACTGGTTCGTATCGAGAACACAACATACTATTATATTCATATTCCGTCAAACATTCAGGAAACTGTTTATATTACTTTGTGATTTTATTCTTGAAAATCGGAATTTCTGCTTATAAATACCAAATATTTCCACGCGAACAGTCTTTATTTTTACCGTTATCAAAGACGCTTCTATCCTATTTTCTGATTACTCTGTTATTAAGCTCATTTTTTAACTAACTTACAAGAGCATTGCCCCGGCTGCCTGCTCATTACCACTTTAAATAGTTACCTCAATAAATATTATAAGTACGGATTATATGGAACTAGGAGAATACGATGCTGCATGTGACCAATAAATAAAAGTTATGATTGATTCACTCCATAGATGTTGTATTAATACTATACAAGGTTTCAGTTTAAACTGATAGCTAGCAAATGTGTTTCTTATGATCTAAGTGGAATTAAGCATACCAAAACATTAACGCTTGAGCAGATAAAGCTTTCTGTTGACGTGACGAAATTAGCATACATATCTAAACAAACCTGTTTAAACGCCAATCGATCAAATTCAGTGATAACTTCATCAATACATTGACTAGACGCTCGTTTCTGTTTTTCATCTAATCGTTTAAGAAACCGTTCAGCTTTAGATTGATCAGGAAAATAACCAACCCCGCAGGGTAAACTATCATTTCGCCCAAGTGATTGAAAATCAAGAGGATCAATTGTTTTTGGAGGAGGATGACAGTACAAAAGTCGACCCTGTTTATAAGAGTAAAATAAAACAAATGATTTATACAGTTTAATTACATCGTAGGTATATAGATTAGACAATTATCCGTAAGATGATATTCACTCACTATTATTATTACTATTATTACAATTATCACACATAACTCATCATTGTTTACCGTGACTATTATTTGTTCACTCTATTGACTGTGTAGATCATACATCTATTTTGCAATTACCAAAAAAATAAAAACAAATTGGTTAAATTACTCTATCTTCAGAACTAAGATTCAGGTTTACACACGCTTTTACATAGTTAGATTTAAGCAAACAGATAACACCACTAGTTCTCAATACAAAATGCATGGTCCGAAGATCCAATGTTCATGAACCTAAAACTGGTTGTCAATTTGCCCCAAATTAAATCAAGTTTTCATTCTTCATAGATAAATATAGATTAATATACTGTAGAATACATACTAATGAAGTTTCAGAATAAACGATAAAGTCGACTATAAATCTTTAATAACATCTTCATAACATTTAAGATTGAAAATATACACCATATACAAATACATTAGAAAGGAAGTGTGACAGGTTGCTCTTCATAATCCTCTCCTTTTAATGAGTCAAATAAATGCAGGAAATCCGGATGACCAACTTACCTTTACATAATCTTTTAAAATGATTCTTGCAGAACGATCATAATTTGGATTCCCTTTAGCTGTCATAAAACCATGCATAACTAAAGGATTGGAAGAAAAACAAAGATATCAACAAATAAAATTTTATAGACATGGAAGGATATTTCCGATATATATATGGAGAAATATAAGAATATAATTTTCTAACCCGTTTACCCAATTCAGTTTGTAAAGTATGTCTAAACATCATACGATGAATCTGACTCTAAGCCTGGTTGCATCAACATTTGTACCTAATTTCTGAATGAACGGACAGTATAAATGAATCACATGAAATATTATGGCGGAAAAGTATTAAACTTATAAAGAAACTAACATGCGTGAGCAGCTAATAATTCATGTGGTGTCAGGATGCGGTCTAAACTATCATTAACTTGTGCATTTTGAAATTTAGGAAGGTTGATTCCATACATTGTCTCTAAAATATGACGTGGAATTCTTTCACAAACCTTAAATATGAAAAACACAAAAAGGTTTTATGTTAATTAACATAGAGGTTAGTGAAATTCTTGCAATGCAAAAAGATGTAAAGATGAAGTTATCTGAATAAACTACATTTCTGAATACAAACATTAAATAATTACAGCGATTTCTAATTGAACTACTTCAAGTCAGTATGACAACTATGCTGTATACTAGTGGAAGTAGCATCAAAGTATGAAAAAAAGGAAATCCAGCTTTAACTTTAACATTTTAAGCAATAGACAAATAAGAACTTAACATAAGAAAAGTACGTCTATACTAAAACAAACTAATAGTGAGACAAGTGAACAAATTTACAAAGTACTAATTACTTCCCATTTCTACGACTAATACTCCCTATGGAATCTATTACGGCTTTGGTGTAACATATACAAAGTGTTTTCAATTTGTATTACCAACAGAATATAGGAGTGGACACGTTAAAACTAAACCCATGAGTAAAAAGCTCACATGACTAAAAGTTATACAAAATTATGACACAATTTTCAATTGTAGTTTACCCTGTTTTCAAATATTTGACAAGCAAGATTTACAACCTAGTATGTAAATATGTACACGTTTGATAGAACACATCACTTTTAATAACACTACTTAATCCTTATCTTTTGCTAACCATTGTATTAGCTCGGAATTTATCTTGGTTTAGGCGCTTCAAAATTCGATGAATTTAATTTATATAAGGCATTTAGCTACTGATTTTGTCAGTCTTGATGTGAATTTCAATGAGAAACCCAGTTATAAACAAAATCGAAGAATGATTTATTTTCAAGAAGGGCAACACATTTTATCATCTTAAAGCTAGAGCATCATTCTTTGATACAAAATAAGTTACATTTAAGTAATTTCCTCAATACTTACTTTTTTATAATAGTTATCATTATCTCACATAAAAACAGCACATAATTTGGCAAAAATGTGCAACATTTTGAGTCGACATACTTAATATTAGCACATTTAGAGTACATCAGCAAGAGAAAGGTCAAAGGAGTGAAAATAATGATGATATCAAATAACTAAAGGATTAGAAAAAAAGGTGAAACGTGATATAAAAGTTTTGAAATAATAAAATGACTACGGTAAAGAAGATATACATATTCTCCGAAGAAATGCCTTACAATGAGTCACTAGACGTTAGGAAATTAAATTTTCCACTAATTTGGATATTAAAAGTATATCGTTGTTATCAGTGAGACAAACATTGGCTAATTTTACGCTGCTGTAACCTACGTTATGTTACAAAAATCCGCCCACCACAAGTTTCGGTAACCTAGCACGGCATAAGTAAAAAATTTATACTTCCCTACCCAACTTAAACAGTTAATTAAAGGTTTCACATACAAACAGGATGTCTTTAACTCATCAATTCTGATCTACTCCAGCTACTCCTATACCAGCCTCATTTGTGAAAGCCAATAATAAGTGACACATCCTGACCACCTCAGAAGAATTAGCTTTACAGACTTATTGATAGTTATAATAACCGTATGTATTATTATATGATCAACCAACAAGCTAACAGCTTATACTACAAGTTATAAGTATTTGAATGTCTTCAAGTGACGGATAATAATTGTATCACAGGACACTTTTAGTGAAGCTGAGTCCTATAAGCTAGATGGTTTATTCCGATTTCATGATCCCTAAAGACAACATTACCAGCCCCCATTTTATTGGGCTATTTACTTTCTGTTCGTTTTCGATGTCTAGGACTGAACTACTTGGAATTCCTACAGGGAATACTAACACTGGGCTCTCAAAACATTTACGTAATGAGTTCAAAATAAAATGCAACTCATTTCTCGAATTCTATCAAAGTACAATCTAATGCTACTATTAGCGGGACATAGACTGGATTAAAGCATGTTCAATGCATGATTGTTTCGGTGCACGCTGATTGGCTAATTCTTGTCTAATCAGCGTTAGCCAATACTTAGTGAACACTGTAGAAATCTCATGTGGAAAACTATAAATATACTAACGTTTTCCCTATTACTTACTTACTTGCTTCTTCCATCTAAATTTGTTATTTGGAATATAATCTCTTTCCTGTTCAACCGTGTTCTGATTTGGGGACTTGTCGAGTGAATCAGTGTCCGAGAATACTAAGCAACAGGAATAGCTGGGTCATAACCGTAAGAAAGAGATTATAACAGCTACCATAAGAACCGTGTGAAAACATACTCTTTAAATATGGTATGATACATGGAAAGTTTACTTACTAAACCAACAGGAGCTAAATAATCACGCATCTCATCGATTGATAATATGCCAGCTACAACTAAGTCCGCTCTAGAGTAAGCAAAAGACGGCATCACCAATCCCGGGCAATCGCAAAGTATCAAGTCTGATCGAACATAAATGGTCTAAAAGCCAAGAAAAGAAATTAATTCATTCATAACATCAAAATAATGATTTTTTCTGTCACCGCGGATAAAAATGAGCATAAAACATCTACCTGGAAATGTTTGGTTTTCCCAGGTGTAACTGACACCGGAACCTTTTTATGACCTAGTATCGCGTTGAGTGTACTTGATTTCCCAACGTTTGGGTAACCAATAAAGCCAACTGTCAAAGGATCCTTTGATTGACGACTGGAGGGACTGAATTTTTCGGTTAACAAATTTATTAGCTCCTCAACTCCAACAACCTTAGCTCCCGCCTCACCATTTTGTCTACTTAGTAGAAAAAATAAAGATGAATTTACAAACAGGACGTTTTTAACAATATTTTCTCAGATGTACACTGTGAACTAGACTCTTTGGATAAAACTATAAACTGGTTTACAAAGGAGCGTACTGAATTTCAATTTTCGTGTAGACAATAGAACTAAAATACGTGTAAATAACTAGTGAGAGAAGGGGAAATGATTACAGTTCGAAGTAACCTGAGTTGAAGGCAGATACCAGCCTAAGACTAGTGAATTATGAGTTTCTGTAAGACAAGCTACTGAATACTGTGCCAAATTATTTGTGTGAATATAAGCATCATATCAGTTCCCAAACCACACCTCCTGAATATCTAGCTGGTAGAAGAATGAACCAACAGTATTGTGGTATATAGTTGTTGTCTTCTCGTGACTTTCTATGATGCTAAAGTTTGCCAGATGGATTTATAGCACATAATTCGATTTGATGGAAGACTAAAACTATCACTCACAAGTAACACAAAGATGGAAAATTATGTTCAGTGGTTAGTTTACTTGAAATATTTGTTTCGCACAGCATAGAGACGATGTACATTATAAATGAAGTGACTCGACAATATTACGGTAATACAAAGGCGAGGAAAGACAATGAACAATATAAATGATAGGAAACACGACCGACCATGATTCATATACAATGATCCATAAAATGACTGAACTACACCCTAACTTACCAGACTAAACAAAATCTACAGAAGATAGTGTCCCAACTCATTTATACTACCACTTAATAAAGTCAGCCAGACACATATATGCGTCGGTCCACTTAATAAAACTAACAGCTCAGTTATTTATTTACATCAGTGCCAAAAGCAGGAAACTGTTTAATATGAAAGTAACGTAGATATTTGATTCACGAGAAGAGGCAAAGTAGGAGGGAGTTATGCTGGTGAACAATGGATATAACTGCGTTTCAGGAAGAATATGACGAGGTCTCATTTCGAACCACTTTGAGAGAAATTCGGGATCGATACGACAGGCTGAACAATAAACTAAAGGTTATCTATGTATACACATCGCATACAATTTGTACTTTAAAATATTGCATATTGAATTAACCTTAATTCATCAATATTTCTAACTTCGTACCACTTTCGTTTCTACAACTTTAACGCAGATTTTCAGAAATAAGTGAAATTAATTGCCTTCATTTCCAACTACACAATAAGGAACTAATGCGTCGTAAGTGAGAAGATCAATAAAAGAAATAGAATGTACCTTATAATAACTTATAATAACATAGTTTATGCATAGACGTTTTTACATCTTAGTGGCTAACGTACTTGGATTGAGCAGATGTTTCAGCATCAATAACATCGCATCTAACAGAATTGGAAGAAAACTCGGAAATCGGTTTACTGATTTCTTTTGTATTGATTGTACTATCACAAGGATCACTTTTTTTACAATCCAGTCTATTCGGCAACTGTGTAGTGCATCTGACAACCTTAGGGCTTTCCTCGTTAGTTTCTTCATGAATAGTTACTGTACTGGCCTCACTATCAGTGTCTGACTCGGTTTGACTTTCCTCAGAATTACTCTCGGATTCCAAACTGGTTCCATTAATTATTTTGGTTGAAATATCACAAGGTTGGGTCATAATGTTAGGACTTTGTCCTAGCATCTGTTCACTGGCTAGTACAGCCGACCAAAATATGGCGTTAATACCAACAGTTCTAAAATACTCCGCCCATAAAGCTCTGTAATAAAATTAAAAAAGAAACATCGGGAATCCTAAATGAACACATTCAAAGCAGGAACCAGTTATTCACTATAGAAAGACAGTACAAGAAGATACGTAAACACGAAATAACAACCGCCTGTTGTTCCAAATTAAAGCAATGCTTATGTTATTGTTAGCAATCATACATTTGTGATACATAGATCGTAGTATTCTATAAGTTCAGAAAAAAGCAACTACTGTCATTACGTAAAGTAATTAGCAAAATAAGTTTTTGTAAACTCAGTAGTGCGTTTGTGCAATAACAATATGCCACCTTCAATAGACAAATGTTTAAAGCGACGGTATCCACATACACTAGTAAAGAGTTGAAAATCATTCCCAAAAGCTTAGTGAGCTTATCAATCAAGCTTGTAGTGATACCCAAATTGAATAACTTAAATGTTTCCTACAAATATCAAGAATCATTACGATAACAAAAGAAAGCATAACATGACACTTGACATATACAACAACTCATTCGGTTTAAATGTGAATTGTAGATTTGATTGAGATAACATTAAATAAGTAATAACAGTACAAAAATATGGAATAGTAAAAATTCAAGACAAGCCATATTTGGAAAATCCTTTCAATAGGTAATGAACTAGATTAGTTTTTGTGCATTGTAAATCGGTAAAATTATACATCGTTTTTTAAAGAAGAGACCGAATATACCACCAGTTGTCCTGTAACGTCCCTAAAACTTATAGTCATTATGTAGCATTTATAAGTTCTGACACTTAACTCATCCAATAGTTTTCTTAGAAATATTATTATTTAGGGGAAGGAAAAATTAGACATCAAGTGTTCGGAAAGTATAATAAAAACTTTGATTTAAGCACTATTTTTGCTTAGAAGTTATCTTATTGTCTTGCGTCTGCTCTGTAAATATTAAATACACTACTAATAAGATTCACTTGAACGTTGTTAATAACTGAACCAAAATGTGTACAAAATTTTAAAGGTCAGATAATGCAGATGAACTAAAAAGATTTTAATTACCGCTAATTCTTTTAGCATATATGACCCAAGAAGACACAATGGATAAACTCACCTTTGTTGATTTGTAAGAAAGTCAGACTTATTAACAAGAACCACAGATGTCTTGTTCGAATCAACTTCATGAACATAACTATCTAAATCACTCGAATAATATAAAAGAGGTTGACGAGCATCGACCACCTGAACAACAACGTCGCTACGTTCCACGACACGCCACAGCTGACGCCAGAACTCCAAATTCCGCTCAAAAGGAGTAAGAACGATGCCGTCTTTTTCTTCAAGCCTACAATACAAATGGTAGTTCAACTTTTCAAGATAGTTGGAAAAGGTCAAGTGTTCATAATAAAAGTACCAAAATCATCCCATACATCATGTCCATGAACAGGTTTTTAAATAAGTATGAGTTATCCAGTCATCTACCACGTGAGACCTGGTACATATATGCATCGGTCCAAGCTTCCATACCTCATTTTTTCGGAAACTAAGTTACGCCTGTTTATAATTAAATAAGCATTAACATTATTCATAAACAACAGTAACTTAGTTGCCAACAAAATCTTAGGATAACGTTTCCTATTACTCAACAATGATGGGAATATACCAACCTGATGTTAATAAAAAAACAAACTTTTATCAAGCTTGTTTCTCGAAAAAAACTACACATCTCTAAGGAAAAAATGACAAATCCTGGTCTATAATAAGATAAACTCACAAAGCCAATGACCGTCTCCATTTCAAGAATTCTTCCTTTTCAAGACTATCCAACGTATCAACTGACATTTCTGGACTCCACTTAGGTCTGTAGGAAGCAAATAAAAATCAAGCGGTGGAACCCTTTTGTTTGGAAATAATCCTATGCAAAACGATCTGAATATTAATAGGTTACTAAATGAATGAAGAATAAATTTGCTGAATTTTTTTACCAGTAAGTGACATATCAAATCATGGAAGCTTATTCACCGACTTAGTTATTCTCCAATACCCTTGCAACGCAACATACCTAATGAAACAATTGCACATTATTAGTGATCTTTAGGCATTCAGAAACATGTGTGTCTCTTGCGTCTACTTACCTTAACATACAAAAGCAAAATCGATAGAAAGTTAAACCTCTAAAGACTAAACCAAACAGAATTTTTTCAAGTCAACAACTCATTTTTACTATTCCCCAACAGTAATGAGAAATACTTTGGCAAAGTTAACTTTATCTAACGAGATAGAATTTATGAGACCTGAAACTAGTAAAAACATTATCAGCAACCAATTAGGTAGATTTTAAAGCAGCTCACATGAATTAAAAAGGTAAGCAAACACCCCACTCAACACACACATAAATAAATATTCACTTAACTTCTGGGTATTTTGAGAAAGTCTTTATACATATTCTGCACTTCTGAAATTTTAGAGCGGTCGGCGGGAGATGGTATGCCTATAATTTCGGATGGGGTGAGAAACCTGATGTTCTTTTTCTCTAAAAACGATATAAGGAGGGTTGAAAGTCTTACGAGCTTTGAATTCATGATTGGCAAGGTTGGCAATACTAAAGAATTCATCTAAACCTGTTTGTTCTGTGACTGAATGAACAGGTAGACGAGACCAGTCCCGATCACTGTTTGTTCGAACTACGTGGCGCCCCTTTTTTATAGATATAACTGACTATAAGACTAACTGATCTTTCAGAAAGTTCTGATCCCATATGTTTAACAAGAGAGCGTCCAAGACCATGCTTTCTGCCCATGTAGCGCAGCGACTTGAAATTGCAACTCTCCAAAGGACGAATCTTAAATGTCCTCATGTTTGACAAACGGATCAAGATGTTTTTTTAGGTAAGGACCCAGATATATGATAATAAGGGCAGATAAAAGTTTTGCTAGATATGTAGAATGAGATCCTATAATAAATCACTAAGAGTATATCAAGAGTAATGGTATTTGTTTCAGGAATGACTAGTTCATCGTTGCTCGGATGTTTGGAATAATTCCAATCTTCAGTATTTAGTAGTAAGAATGAGATTTTACTCGATCTATGTCGTTAATGTATGCCATTCTTATCTGCTGCGAGAGTGTAAGGAAACAGAAAATGAAAAGGAATGTGCATTTGTAAACTGAATAAGAATGTACATGATCTCAAATGGTTCAAATGGTTGTGGACGGAATAGAAGAAGTTTTCGCTTAACAAGCTTCCGTGTCTAGTAGCAGTAGATCACCAATACCTCCAGGAAGGAACCTATGCCGCATAAAATTTGTCAATTTTATCCAAGGTTTGCAAATCAAAATAAGCAAGAACCTCCACGTAAATATGTCTGATGATGTCACAGGTATTCAGTGTTTGACAACGCTTCTACCAGTAACACATTCTAATGTATTTCGTTCCCACCCAGAGAAATCAAAAGACAGAGTCGAGGAGATCGGAAGAGTACATTTGGCGATGACCAATATATCGGAATTCTCTGATCTAATCTGGCTAGTGATTGCGGTAGATGTTGAGCACGGCGTTACCACACGTGATCTGGTGCGGATGCCTGACCGAGCGCCTTCAGCTAGATGAGTCCACTAAAACATATGGTCAGCATCCAATGTCGAAAACTTACAGAGCTATTTATTTCGGGGATTTATTTACCGCTACAGATCACTCCCCCCCTAGTGGGGCAGTGACGACCCTGAGACGTGGCCAGCCAGAAGTTTAAACCCAACGAGTTTGTCGTTGGTAAACGCTCTTCTGATAGCTTACTAAGTGCAGCAGCGTCTGGTCGTCTTTCCTTACTATATGGGACCCAGGTACAACATAGTAAAAAAAGAAAGAGTTACAACGAAATTTTCGACTCCTCGTAAACCGCATCGTTCTTTTCCAGTCGTCCTGGAAAAGAAAAAAGAAAGTGTAAGTGCATGTCGAAATACACTTGTATGTGCGTAAAAACACAATGTCGGCGAAAAAATGGAAAATATACTCAAGCACACGTAATAGTGTTAAAAAATGTTTTTTATGTTTTGTTTTTTTAATAAAAATATAAATATATGGGCATAATAAAATTGTTTTTTTTAAAAAATTAAAAATCGTTAAAAAGAAAGATCGAGATTATATAAAATGTCGAGTAGTGCCTTACGTGTTGGTTGTCGGTTGAGGAATTATGAGTGTAGGAGTCGCGTTGTGCGATTGTACCGAAGGAAAGTCGACGTGAATGAGATTTCCTTCTAAATACGCTGCTTTTAAGCGATCGATGCTGATGCTATCGTTTGTTCCGTTCTTGTCGACTATATAGTACTTAGATTCACGTTGAAGAACTTTGAAGGGTCCTTCGTATGCTGATTCGAATGGTCGTCGATGCGAGTCTCGACGAACGAAAACGTGTGTACTATATCGTAAGTCAGGTTGAACGAAAACATCAGTTGATTGAGGTCGAGTGGAAGCAGGTTTAACTGAACGCATTGCATTTGTAAGCCAGTTCGTGTAGGAGGTTAGATCCATGTTTATTGAAGACGAAGGATCCACGAATTCTCCTGGAAGTCGAAGTGTCGTTCCATAAACGAGTTGAGCCGCAGTGTAACCAATGTCAACTTTTACTGCATTACGAATACCCAGTAAGACGAGTGGAAGAGCGTCACTACACCGTGAAATGTTTGCAGCTGATAGTGAAGCTTTCAGTTGTCGGTGAAAGCGTTCTACCAACCCGTTTGCTTGTGAGTAGTAGGCCGTCGTTGGGAAGCGAGTGATTCCTAAAAGTGTGGTCAGACGACGGAAAAGTTCAGATTCAAACGGCCGTCCGCGATCTGTGGTGATGGTTGAAAGGCAGCGGAAGTTTGCTTCCCATCGTTCGACGGAGGCGCGAGCCACTGTTTCAGCAGTAGTGTCCTTGATAGGTAATGCTTCTGGCCATCGAGTGAAACGGTCTACGCAGGTTAAGAGATAAGAGTATCCATTTGAATCTGGTAAAGGTCCTACCAAATCCAGATGAACATGGTCGAAACGAGCATCGGGAGTTTTAAACGAGCCTAAGGGGGATTTATTGCGTCTGATAACCTTAGATTTTCGGCAGCTTACACAGGAGCGTGCCCACTCCCTCACGTCTTTATTCATGCCAGGCCAGCGAAACCGTTCTGCCATAAGCTTGATGGTTGCACGAACACCTGGGTGAGAAAGTCTGTGCAACGTATTGAAGACGTTGCGTCGATAACGTTTCGGCACGATTGGGTGATCCCTACCTGTAGATGTGTCACACAGTAAGGTTTTCTTACCTGTTCCCATCTGTTTGATACGTAACTTGAGGGTTGTGGTCGATAACTCGTGCTGAAGATCAGTGTCTTCTTTTCGAAGCTCGGCGAGTTTAAGAAGGTCGATTCCTTGGAAACTGTTCAAGGAAGTTGTGTGAGACAAAGCGTCTGCAACTACATTGTTTGCTCCAGAGATGTGTTGAATGTCTGAAGTAAACTGCAAAATGTAGTCCAGTTGTCGAGACTCACGGGGAGAGTACTTGTCTGAAGTAGAGCTTAGAGTGAAGGTGAGTGGTTTATGGTCAGTGAAAAGAGTGAATTCACGGCCTTCGATATAATGTTGAAAATGTCGCACAGCACAATACATAGCTGGGAGTTCCTTACCGAATGTGCTGTACCTCGATTCAGTGTCTAGCAACCGTCTAGAGAAAAATGCCAAGGGTTGCCAGGAGTTGTTAACCCATTGTTGTAAGACTCCACCGATTGCTAAGTCGGATGCGTCTATTACGATGCTTATGGGTGCTCGGGTGTCCTGATGTGCGAGCATTGTTGCTTTAGCAATCAGTTCCTTAATTGTGGAGAATGCTTTACGTGCGTTGTCGTCCAAACGAATGGATTTCGCATTTCCACGAAGTTGGTCGGTAAGAGGTTTCATAAGTAATGCGCATTTCGGTATGAAACGTCTATAGAAACTTACGAGGCCGTTAAACGTGCGTAACTGCTTGACGGTGGTCGGTTCTGGGTAATCCAGAATTGCCGCCACTTTGGTTCTAAGGGGTCGGATAACTTGAGCATCGATAATGTATCCCAGAAAGTCTAATGAGTCGGTTCCAATTTGGCATTTCTGAACGTTTACAGTAATGCCATGTTTTTGTAGTCGTTCGAAAACAAGATCCAGATGCTTGAGATGTGTTTCTCTGTCCGGACTTGCGATTAGACAGTCATCAACATACGCGTGTACGAAGTTGAGACCTCGAAATCGTCGTCTATGAATCTTTGGAATGTTTGAGCAGCATTCCTTAGACCGAAAGGCACTCGCAAAAATTCATGGAGTCCGAAGGGATTAATGATGGCGGTTTTCGGTATGTCATCTGTGGCCATGGGAATTTGGTTATACGCTTTAACCAAGTCGACTTTCGAAAAAGAGTTGTGCCTTTCAAGGTAGCTGTCAAATCGTGAATGTGAGGCAACGCGTAACCATCGGGAATGGTTTTCGCATTCAATCGCCGATAGTCACCAGTTGAACGCCAATCGTTGCTGTTCTTTTTAGGGACCATGCGCAACGGAGATGCATATGGGCTATTTGACGGTCGTATGATTCCTAAGTCTATCATGCGATCGAACTCGTTTTTCGCCAACCTTAGCTTTTCAGGGGCTAGTCGTCGTGCTTTTGAGAATACAGGTGGTTCTGTAGTCGTGATGTGATGTGTAACATTGCTGGTTACACACGGTAGTTTCGGTTGCGTTTGTTGTATCCCAGGATACTTATCGAGTAGTGGTTGATAAAGTGGGTCTATCGTATGCTTAATTGTGACCGGAGATAATCTTCAACCAGAAAAAGAAGTTACGCAAACGGACAAATTAGTGCTACCGTCTACTAGCCTCCGTTTGCGAGTGTCGATGATCAGATTGTTGTGTTGTAGAAGGTCCATACCAATGATTGGTATAGAAACATCTGCAACAACGAAAATCCAGTGTATGGGTTTGCGTAAACCCACGTTAAGGTAAACGTACCTTTTGCCATACGTAGCGATCGGTTTCCCGTTTGCCGCCTGTAAGTTTAGGGTCGATTCGTGAAGTCGGTCATCGGAATTCGCTGGGAGAACGCTAACTTCTGCGCCAGGGTCGACGAGGTAGCGAACTCTCGTTGTTACATCTGTGACGTATAACAGACGGCTATGTTCGCCGGCTACGGTTGCCGTTAACGCGTGCCGGCTTGGAAGTTTCTCGAATTGTTTTTCGAGTCAGTCGGTTTCGCGTTGGGAAAATTGCAGGGTTTTCTGCAATTTCTGGAAAACTTTCCATACTGGTTATGATACCAGCACCAAACGGGGTTATCCGTCTCTCGTGGTCTAGAGACGGATCGCTTACGAGAAATGCTTCTACGTGGTGTGCGCGATCTCTTACGGTCGGTACGAAGACTAAGATAACGCGTGAGTGTGTGACATAAGTCGTTTATATCATTCTGAGTCGTTTGAGGCTTTTCTTTGACTGAAAATATCTCGGTAGTAGATTTCGTAATTTCTAAAATGCGGTTGGCAGATGCAGCCAGCTCTTCTAAGGCGTTGTTCTGAAACGAGACCAGAACTGCTTACACCTGTTGGGGAAGTTTTGATAAGAAGAGTTGTTTGAATAGACCTTCGTTGAAAGTTCTTGGGCCTATAACCTCTCTCATCCTTTGCAACATGTCCGTCGCAGAACCGTGTTGCAGGTCGATGTTATTGAATAGTTGATCTAACCTTTGTCGATCGGTTAGGTCTCCTCGTTTTAGAATGGAATGCTTTAAGGTTTCATAAGTTTCAGAAACATCACTAGTAAACATACTAGGTGTTACGTAC